ACATTTTATAAAAAGTGATTAAACAACAATAATAATACTTATAATTTACTATACATTATTTATACATAAAAGTAAAATACTTTTTAGTTTCCAAGTTACACAAACGAATACTAACTAATTCACATATTGTTTTATTTTTTACACAACAATAATAAAGTTAATTTTAAGTAATTTWTAGAGATAATAGTACTCGATTGAAACAGTTTTAAAAATTAAAACAATAAAATATTATTATTTAAAATTTTAAGCACATAAATATAAGTGTTCATAAAAATATATAATTTTACAAATAATACACAAATATATTCCTTCTTATACAWCACATTTTAATAGTAGAAGACAATTAAGGCATTAAACAACCAATAGATAAAACTTTGGATTCACATATAATAATATTAATAATAACAAATATTTAAGTCAATAAAAGAAGAAAGGAACTAAAATATGCAAATACACAACCTAAAAACATGAGATTTATATTGCATCAATAAATATATAAAAAAAATATGAACATAACGCTATGTATTATAACTATTCGATTGTCATTTAATTTATAATTGGGTATTATTAATATTATAATTGTTTTAATACCATTCATAATGTAACCAAGAGTAGAAGTTTCAATATMATTACACAAATGCCATTTGTTTTTTGGGTGCTCTAGTTAGCCTTTTTTGTAAATGTCTCTCAAAAAATTTTTTTATTTCTGATACAATGAAAACACTTGATGTCAATCCCAATAAAAGTAAAATATCTAAAAATTTTGAAGAAAAAAAAATTAATATTTTTAACTCACAATTAAAATAGAATAATCTTTACCATATAAAGTAAGTGCTTCTGTCTGAAATACATTCTGTAATGGTGGAAAGTATATCACTAACATTTGTCCAACAATAGAAAGTGTAACAGCAACAAGAAACATTTTGTTAGAAAACAACCCAATAGTAAAAACTGACTTYGTCTACAAACATAATCATAATGCTTACTATTGAATGACAATATAGATAAAATCAATTCTAATATTTTAAAAATTTAAAATCATCATACCTGTGAACGGCAGCTAAGAGCATTAAACATATCAAAAAAAACAAAACATGTAAATGTCATTGTAGTGTCTCTCTTAGACACATCATTGTCGCTTAACTGAAATCATATAGAAACATAATTAAAATTAACTATAAAGCAACTAATAATTAAGTATTGAATGTTCATAATTGTAAAAAATTGGTTTTATTTGAATTCATTATAATAATATTTATTGATTTGAACATTGGAATTAAAAGCAAAAGCAATATTTATGAACGGGATTTAATAAGGATTTAATTTTACCAGTCAATTATTTATATAAWGTACTCCTAGTATTATTTAAATTATTAAATTATTAAGAAATTAAATTAAACTCTGAAAATAAAAACTCACTTCTCGCTTAAAAACCCAAAGAGTTCCAACAATTATAATTGAAGCTGAAAAAAGAACATTTAGCACGAGTGTTTTTGTTATCATTGGTGTTTTAACATTTCGAGGACCTTGTTTTACAACATCTTTATCAACAGGTTCAACAGCAAGACTGAAAAAATATTAATAGTACAATATAACAAAAGAGAAAAAACAAGTTACAAATAACTAGATTAATGATATAGCTACCTTTGGGCAGGTGGTCCATCCATTATAATATTAATCCATAATATTTGCATGGCATTTAATGGATTTGGTATTCTAAAAATGGTTGCTAAAGCAATTAAAGATAATGCGGCAATACTAGTACTAAGTTGAAACTTCACGAAATTTCGAATGTTGAAGAATATTCCTTTCCCTTCTTCAATAGCTGCCACAATTGTTTGGAAATCATCATCAACTAGTATCATGTCTGATGCTTCTTTACAAACATCTGTTCCATTTTTACCCATAGCTATTCCAATATCAGCTTTTTTCAATGCAACACTATCATTAACTCCATCACCTGTCATTCCAACAACATTACCATTTGCTTGTAATGCCTAAAATTATAGACACAATTAAAAATAAATAAATTAGATTTTATTTTATTTCTCCACTATTATACCTAATGAAATTTTTAAATTTATAATATTTTACTAATAATACTTTTGAAACATTGATTTCTTTTTTTATTATTTTTATTATTCATTTATTTCTCAAGATAAGAATACTGAGCCTTACTGAGTATTCTCGTGTGGAGGCCCACGAGTTATTATGTATACATCCGTATAATTATTACTAGTATATAGATATAACTTACATGTTTGAAATCGTGTTTACAAATTATTAATAATATAATATTAGAATAAATATGTGTAATAGGTACTATCTGGTTAGTGTTAAACTTAAAAATTATAAGCGTAAGTAAAAAAAAATCATGATATATAAAAACTTRAAAAATTCAAAAACAATTAGACTAAGAACATAAGTGAAAAAATAGGGAAAATGTGTTATCATAATACAATGTTATAATATCATTTACTTATTATTTTATCAAAATGAAAATTATAAGCCAATATTAGAATATTACTAAACAGTATGAACAGATTCTCAAAATAAATAGCTTAAAATTAGTTTTAAAATGTTGAACATTTTATTATTTATGGACAGTGGCAGTTCTAGCATAAGGGCAGGGTGAACAGCTTGCTGCTTGTTCCAAAATTTCTAATATTCTTTGTTGAAAAATTAAATGATAAATCTACTTCTAATATCATTAAGTATTTGTGACATAAATATTTTACTTAACATTTTTTCGCATTTAAGACTTAATTGTAAATTTTACCTCAAAGAAAATTTAAYCTGTATATGAAAAATAATAATTTAAGTAAAAGTGGGATAGTTCCAAATTTCTATGATAAACTTCTTTTAAATTAAAACCAAACAACAAAAATCACCTGAGGAGAAGTAGTTATTTATTTTTGAATTACTGTATGAAGAACTTAATAGAAAAAAAAAAATCAAACTAAAAAAGTAAATAAATCTCAAATATCTATTATTAGCTTTAAAAGGCCAAAATATTTTACGATACAAAGAGTAGAAAATATCATTATAAAATTAAAGGATGAAGTGTAATGGTAACAAACTATTAGGTACCTTGATTATTGTTAATTTGTGGCGAGGTGTAACACGGTAAAAAACAGATACATTGTTTACCATTGCTTTTAGTTGATGATCAGACATATTATCAATTTGTTGGCCAGACATGGTTTGTCCATGAATCATATCCAAGCCAATCATACTTCCTATATTCAAATTTTAAAATAAAAGATAAAAATATTTTTTATTTTTATTTGGTAATAATGTTGTATGCTACATACCAATGGCAACTGCAGTTTCTTGAGCATCTCCAGTGACTAATTTTACTTTAACTCCACAATTATACAACTGTTCTATGGATTCTCTAACAAATGGTTTTGGAGGATCGCAAATTCCAACTAATCCCAAATAAACCAAATCTTGTAAAGAATCTCCTTTGGCTAATGCAATAACTAAAAAATGTGTTTAAAAATAATTAATAAAATAATCTGATAGAGATACTAGTAAAACAGAGCATTATAACTAACCTCTAAGTCCTTTTCTACCAATTTCATATGCTTCAGTAAATATATCTTGTTCTTTTTTACTACTTAATAATAGTTTTTCATTTCCATTAGAATATTTTGTACATTGTTTCAAGACTTTTTCTAAAGCACCTTTGACAAAATAAATTTCTTCTTTAACCTATAAATTTTAATTTTAATAAAATAATAAAAATAGTAAATACTAATAATAATGAAATATGCTATATTCAAAAATCTTACATCATCGTATTTATTAACACATTTCACAGCCATAAGTTTTTGTTCAGAACTAAATGGATATTCTTGAAGTTTTAAGTATCTTTCACTAATACCATACATTCTATTCTATGATCAAAATTAAAAATTATAGCAAAAGAAACAAGATTAATAAATAAATTAAAGATTTAACTTCTTAAACACCTTCATAGCAACTGCTAAAAGAGCCCCTTCAGTTGGCTGCCCCTGTAATGTATCTCCATTGATAGTTGCATTATTGCAAATAACTCCGACCTACAWAAAAAAAATTATATGCAATTAAAAAAAAACTCAGTAAAAATRTTTGTTAGAATCTAAATTATCAAAAAACTACAATACATACTTCTAATAAATTATATATAGCTAGTTTTGCTTGATCTGAAGAGAAAGATTTAAGTAAATGAACTTCGCCTTGATCATTGTAACCAGTTCCAGAAACCTAGATCATTAAATGATTATTTTATATTGTACATTGAATTTTCATAGTACTTTTATACAGAGTGATTATCAYAATTCATAATGTTTTAATACGATAAAATCTTTTTAGTGGGTGTTACTACATAACAATTTATAATGCTTTTCTTGTTCATTAAAAACAAGTTTACTGTATTTAAGTATAAYAAGTTTTTTTTAGCAGTTTAAATTTAAAAATATTTAAAATTTAAAAAAAAACTATTTTATAACTTACATCAGCATAATATCCCTCAGAAGTAATTATTGTAGTTACAGTCATTTCATTATTGGTTATGGTGCCAGTTTTATCAGAACATATTATGTTAACACATCCTAATAAAATAAATACATAAGACAATAACAAATCAATAATTATAAATAAAAGTTAAGCAGTTACCTAAAGTTTCAACAGTTGGTAATTTCTTCACAATAGCTTTTCTATTAGCCATACGCATTACACCAAGTGCCAAAGTCACAGTTACAACTATAGGTAAGCCTTCTGGTATTGCAGCTACAGCCAAACTAAAACAGTGAAAAAAATTTTTATAACACATATATTAATCTATTGACTAATTTTTTTACCTGACACCAATAGTAAACATATCTAAAATAGGTCGGCCCTGAATCCAACCAAGCATCATTATCAAACCAATAATAAAGAAAGAATACACCGATAACTGAGTACCCAGAATATCCATGCTATTCTGCAAAGGGGTCTTTGGTGCTTCTTCACTTTGCATTAACTTGAAAAGTTCGCCAAATTCCGATTTTTCTCCTGTATTTACCACAACTCCTTTACCATTCCCACACCGTACTAACGTACCCATGAATGCTATGTTTTTCATTGATGTGTGACTAACTGGATTCAAAACTAACTCTGTTGTTTTCATACATGGTTCTGTTTCCCCAGTAAAACTACTTTCGTCTATAGCTAAGTCAATGGCCTATAAAGTGAAAATCCAATTATGATTTTATTATACACACAAAAAGAACTAATAGTTCTTAATAAGCAAATATCTAAATTTATTAATTATTGTTGACCTATTACTTTTATATTTTTATATTTAAGTTTTACCTCGAAAAGTCTAATATCAGCAGGGACTCTATCACCAGTGCTTAAATAAACAATATCACCAGGTACCAACGATCTTGCAAGCATAGATTCTAATTGTTCCTCCCGRAGGCTAAAACAGAACACAAAGTCAAGTTATTAGTTAATTTATTTCAATTAATATATTCAATTTATTGGTGGACAAAGTTAATAGTTTCAAGTACTTAGGATTAGTATTACAAGAGAATGGAGGTTTTGAAGAAGATATTATGCATAGGTTTAGGAAGTGTGGATAAATGAAGCGGAGAGAAGCGTAAGGTATTTTATGCATTAGAAGAATCCCAATCAGGTTAAAAAGTAAATTTTATAAGACAGTAGTGAGGCCGGGGATGATCTATGGATCGAAATGTTGGGCTATAAATAAAAAATTTAAGTTTATTAGTAACAATGATAATTTTATAAAATCATCAACGGCAAACAATATATAACCTAAATTGGAGAATAATAAAAAAAAAATGCCAACCTAACCAATAAAGTTAACATTATTAGCTAGTAGCAATAAATTTCAGAACTCAAATAGTTAACTACTAACAAAAGCTTACATTTTTTGTTAACAATTCCATTATATAAACATAAAATATATAACAAAATTTCAAAATAACAAGTATAATAATAATAAGGAAAAAACTACTGACCCACCATAATACAATAAATAACAAGTATAAAAATTAGAAATCTGTTTGTGTTTAATTTAAATGATTATGAAAGAATTACATAATGAATATTCAATGAATTCAACAAAAATTGTTTATATTATATGATAAGTAAATAATTTAATAAATATATTCATATTAGCAAATTCTTGAAAATAATATTTTTTTTAAAGTTACTACGTTCCAAATTAATTTAACCAAAAAAATATTGAATTTTAGAAAGATTTTTAAAAATAAACCACTTAACTTAGATAAATCTTTTTACCATCAAAATTGTTCTTATAATTAGATTCATAAATAGGCTATTTTGAATTTATCAAAAACAATTTTTAAGTTTTTTTATTCTCAGTACTAAAAAATAAACATAAAAATTATTATACATATGCGCTAGGGTCACTTTATGAACAAAAATAAATWAATTAATAAAAAATATTAATTTGAACAAAATTTATTCCAAAAGTCAGTTCTATCCGTTACACCTTGTATACTAAGTTAATAATTTTAAAATTATATATTTTATCARTTATTCTTCAAACATACTCGTAAATGAGAGTAAATACTTTCTAATTGTCTCCAATTTTTCACTAAATATCAATAAATTAAATACATTTTTATAAAATAAGAAAACAAATAATAACTTAATAATATTTCTTAGAATACTAACCATCGACATGTAGGTGGTACAAGTTTTGTTAAYGCTTCTAATGACTTTTCAGACCTATATTCTTGTATAAAAGCTACAGTAACAACAATGATAATAGCCTGTAAAAACATTAAAGGAGTTTTAATAATTTCAATTTAGTTATTTTTTTTTTTTAAAACATCAACAATTAATATTTTACCTACCTRGGAATAATATTACAGTGAAACCTGTACATAACGAAAAGTTAGAGGACAATCAAATGTGGACATTTTAGACAAGATTTAATATCATTAAAGGCAAACTAACTATTTATTTATTGAAAATATTGTGGCATGGTTATTAAATATTAATACATATGAAATAATATAATATAGGCATCAAACATTACTGGCAATATTGAAGTACTATGTATGTAAATTGATCTAAATCCATGCCTTGAAGTTGCGCGTGCGCTGTTACGACTGGTAACACTGTTATATAGAATGTATAGTATATGTAAATATGCAATTAAATTTGAGTTTGAACTAATTTGACTTTGAGTTTGTTTGTAATGAAGGTATAAGGGATAAATATTACAGTCTGTGTCAGTAAAAGAAAAAACCCATAATAGACAGGTTAAAATACATTGGAATGTTTTCTGAGACCTTATTTTGTCGTTGAAAGATGGTCTGTTATGTTATAGTGGTGTCCGTTAAGTCAGGTTTTACTGTATTACCAAAAATTCAAAAGTAAATTAATCAAAATTAATTTTATTATTAATTCATTATTTTGTGAAGAAAATAAAACCATTGTAACATTAACCATAAATAATGAGTAATTAATTATTTAATTGAACGTACTGTAGTAATACTGATGGCGTCATCAAATTGTTTCATACATACGCTTACTACAGCTGATGCTAGCAAAAGAAGTATCAATGGATTTCTAAACTGAAAATAATAAGTTTTGAATTAATATTCTAGTTCATATATTATGTTTTTTCATACTTCACATGAATAAATATTCTAAAAATACTCTATGAAAGTAAAGTTGTATAGTATAGCTATTATAAACTAACATAAACAAATTACATAAGGTTAGGTACAACTAAGATTTTTAAAAAATTAAACATTTAAAACAATTTATGACTTAAAATTCATTACTATGAATTTTAAATTACAGATAAATACTAAGTAACTTGAATTGCATCAAAATTAAATTATAAAACAATAGGTGGCTATGAAWGTAGGTAGTTGTAATAGGATTTCCACAAATTAAAATATGCAAATACATTATTGTTGAAGATTAAAATAATACACTGTTTTAATGCACAGTTGTACTTGAAATATTTAATAATTTTTCAGTAAATTAACTTTATTGTGTGTACTTGAAAAACAAAGTATAAATAATTTATACATATTTATATTAAACATATTCATGTATATTAGAAACATATTTGATCGAGTAGAATTGTTTCAGAAATAAGTATTAATACAGAAATATTCTTCTACCTATTTTAATTTTTTGATTAAATTAGTTATTACTTACCTACATCAAATTTAAATTTAAAAATCAATTGTTTAATATATTTTTAATTTTAATTTACATTAAGATTTAAATCTGCTGCTACCAAACATTTTTTGACTAAGAAACTATTGAATACCAAGCCTCATCATTTTAACTTAGGTACTTAATTTTATACCCATATATTAATATATTATTGTTTTTAACAAAAAAAATATATATTTATTTAAAAATTTGTACCATTTTTGTAAAGGTAATATATTAATTCTGAACACATACATACACAATCTGGGGCTTATGCATTAATAATACAATATAATATGTTTTACCTGTTCAATATATTTTTTCCATAGTGGATCTCCTTGATGAACTGAAAATTCATTGTATCCAGTCATCTGTCTTCTAAATTCACATTCTTTCCAAGATAATCCACTCCTAAAACTGACTCTTAATCTAGACACCACATCTTCGGCACTAATTGCACTTGCTTCTTTTGTAGTAAGCCACATCTTTTCATGCTCTGCTATCATCTAAATTAAAATAAATGTTTTTATTAAATACTTCGGTAAGCGACATTGTTAAAAATTAATGCCAAGACACATACAAAATTAGAACCTGATGGACTATCATGTGATTCGTGATTTAAAAGTGAATGTAAAGATTCATTGCTAAATTTATTAACAATTTTATACTTAGAGTTCATTATACCAGGAATAAATATTGTTGAACTCAAATCACCTCTTACAAATGTGAGTTAAACAACAAGTTAAAATTAAAAAAAAAAAAATTATATGGAAACAATTAAACTAAATCATGGTTAAAGAGGTAAATTCAACACATTTAAAGAGACATTTTAAATATAATTATTAATTAGCTACACTTTAACGAATTTCACGGTTTACTTTAAATACAAATACTATTTTTGATTTGCCTAYATAGATTATAAAATACCTTATCATTATCAACGTGTTAACATATTATTGTTCAGTATCATGAAAGTGACAGAGCTACCAATTTTTTCCGAACAGATAATTATTGTAATACATTTTTAATAAACTATTCAAGTATACAACTGTATAAGCATGTATGTACTATGTTGTATAAGTCAACATATCGAGGTCCGACGATCGGTCTTATAAAACTATAAAATATAATAGCATGAATCTACTTCCTACCTAGAAATAAATAAACATTTTTAATTATTAGATGTGCATTATTTATATTTGATACACCCATGATATGACAGTACATATAATGCACACGTCACACAACTCACACACAGAAATGGCCACTAAATATTTTTATACAATAGCTCAGATTAAATAAAACATTATAGGTTTTAAATAAAACTACCTATTATAATCTATAARCATTACATATAAATATAAAATATTTATTCACACGCTACCTATATTATATATTGTAAAACGTTCTACGCTCAATCTGTGATAATAGTAAATATTAAATAGGGAGTAAATTAAATAATAATATTATGCRGGAAATAAAAATGTATTATCTACATACCGTTTAAGTGTTGATAGGATTATAGGAATCAATAACGGTAATAATTGGTGATTATATGCGATTTATGCTAAAACCAACAATAATAATATTATAATAGGTAGTCCACGAGACTATTAATAAAACTGCAGCAAATAGCAATTATTGGAGACTCGGTTACGCCAAATTACCTTCCACCCGGGAGAAGAGGTTTTAAAATGTTTATCGTTTTTATTAAAGAGTTGTTTTTATGTTTAATAATATATGTACTGCCAATTTCAATAGTGAATTACCGACATACGACTATTTTTTTTATTTATTTTTTTTATAGTGCCTACAGTATATATTTTCAAATTAATTATTTTATAGATATTTGTCATAATATAGTCGTAAACACAAAACAATTGTATAGGTATCACACCCAGGCTTGAGTAGGTACTAGGTAGAAGGTACTACTGTATCAAACTTCATATTATTTTGTTTTTACAATGTTTTATTCAATCTGTTGCAAAAAAGAACAAGAACAACAACTGAGGTAATAGATAGCAATGAAAATAATAAAAATAAAACAAATAGATAGAGATAATAAAGCGTAGAAGCCTCCTAGTGGAGGTACTACAATTAAAAAAAAAAACATGAATATTAAGATTGAATTAGTTTGTCAGTAGGTTTCTACTATAGACATATAAATATTTATATGTCTATGGTTTCTATACTATAGGTACGTGCGCTATAATAGACGTTTGGAAGGATTTCCAGGGATARTCAAGGGTCAAGGTATCATGCATGAGTGGKTTTCTGTGGTTTAAAAGCCAGTTATGGAATCTTTTGTAGTGTGTTTAAGCCACGTCTACACTATATATAAATTACTATTATAGGCTATTATCAGTGGCGTACGCACTACACAGGGGTAGGGTTCTAGGGTTCTGACTGCCCCGGAAATTTCTTCTTTTTACATTAAGACCCTAAGATACCTATACATCAACGTACCATACATTTTCAAACTATTACACATTTGATGAACCCGCTCACAATTTAAAAATAGTAGACTTTTTTATASACTATTATTTTTAAGTTTTAACCAATACAAGGTGATTCTTTTATCAAACAACACTCATATTATGGTGTTTGTGTGTAAATACCACTTAACATACTCCTATAACACACAAACACCAACCAAAACCATCCAACTTCGGGAGGCTATATCTTGTAAACGGATTAACGAAAAATGAAAATTTAAACGTGAAATTCATTGAAAAAATAGCCTTTTTAGTTCATGAAATTTTAAGTATAGGTTGTTATTTGAAAATCAAAAGTTGATAATGGTTTACCTGATAAATATAAGGGTGAAAATATTTAAAAAAATATATAGTTCTAGAACAAGATGGATCTAAARTTTTGAAAGAAAAAAAATTGAATTAAGTTAATAGTTTTTGAAATAATGAGTTGTGTTTGATAAAAGAATCACCCAGTATAATATCTGTAGTGTAGATCACAAACTTTGGAAGCTCAAGCGTCAAAATTATTCAAAATCTTACCCACCTTTGCTTATGTTTTTATAAAAGTTTCGTTTCACAATCCGCTTCAATCGTGACACCATCGATCATCCCTTATCACAAGCCATACCCTTTTTGGGAAGATAAAATTTGTTGTATTTTGTAAAATCAAACCAAATATTTTGTTGTCATGACAAATAAATAAAACAAACGAATTTCAATTCTTAAAGGCCACAGTAACGCATTTATTCTACAATATACACCTGCAGGCTATAAGTATAACTGTATAGGTACTGCCGGTACTGGACATATTAATCTTCTGACCTAACCCGTCTAACATCATGTATTCAATCTGGTGTTCAATCACAGCTACKTATTTTATAATTTTCTGTTTACTGGGGAATATATAAATAATTTGATTCAATTTTTAAGCAATCTTTCGTTTATTATTATTTCCAACAGCCGTCACGAGTAAGGGTCTCAAAATCCATCGGTTAAAACGTACTTTTAATAAAACTATCTAGTTATCAATCAAGTTCTTAAAAATTTATAACGATGTATTTTGAACTTATAATATAATATTTAAAAAATTAAAAATTAAAACATGCTGATATATTTTTATAATCTAGTTTATTGATAACTGCATGCAACGATGACTCTAACCAGCTATAATTAGATCAAAAATATCACTGGGTGTTATTGAACCATCTGATTAACCCTAGCGTCCCAGCGCATTCCTTTATCCATATTATCATCAGATTTTCAAAACATACATGGCTTTACAGTAAAATAATAGTTTAAAAGATAAGCAAGCATTGTTTTGAGGAAAATAAAAATGATTTCAACGGATGCGCGAGTCCAGGATCACCCTTGTACTTAACACCACCCACAAATTGTATACCAAATAAGCCCTATTATATAAATGTATACCTACTTTACATTAACTCCTATATAGTTTCTCTATTATATAGACAAAACCACGGCTTTAAAACCTAACCTAACCTATCTAAAGCCGTGGGAAAAAATTATTTACATATAATTTTACTTGTAAGTGATTCCTAATAAATAATAACCTAATATTCCCACTTACTTTTATAATATGATATAATATTACAGTGAATTAAATTATTTCTAGTTTTGTATTGGTGCACATGATTTTTTATTGTAGTAATGACATTTT